GTTGGTGCATCTGTAATTGGGACATTTGGCTTGCTATCTATTTCTGCTAATTGAATCGATAAATCTACGATCTTTAATCTAAATTTACATATTTTTTTGTTGTGGTGCTTGGTGGTTGATGGGTTTCCGGGGTAATTAGGATGGGGTGAGCATTGGAGATGCTTCTGTGTATGCAACTAAAGTAAAGATGACTTTTTTTTTCATGTGTATAGTTATTTCTAAGCAAAGTTTTATTTTATGAGTAAATGTTTGATTTCCCACAGAATTTAAGGAGTTAAATTTGACTTTTGAATTATATTGGTGTAGTGAAAGGAAATAAACACGGTAGTTGAAAAGTTAGTTTGATTTAAGTCATAAGAAAACCATATCAGAAATTTATATATTGAATAGTTTAATGGACTTGTATTTTGGAAGTTAAGTAGTATAGAAATGTTGGTCTCAAACATTTTGAAGTGTAGCAAACTGGAAAGAGAGTTGTATGGGGGAGCATATTCTAAGTTCATTGGTAATGTACCTTGGTTGTGACTGACATACTTGCTTTGGATTCTTGAGGAACGTGAGACTGTTTGAATTGTGTTGCTCTTGGCAGACTTTCTTTTTCCTGTTTTTTACCTTCTCTATGTGGGCTCATAATTGGTATTGTCTGTTTGAGGAGGGTTGTTTGCAGAGATTGAGCTTTCCTCTGTGCTAATGAGTTGTTTATTTTCCAGGAAAGTGTAATGGGTTTTGTTGCTATATGCTGAAAGCAATGTAGTTATGATTAATTCAGAAAATTCTTTCGACATGCTAAATATCTTTTTATGGTTATGATCTTCTGTTTGGACTGAAAAAGAAGTCTAGTGGACACTTATATTTTTACCATTTCTAGTTATTTAGTTTTCTTAGGTTTAGGTAGTTGGATGTTTATTCTGAATTTTCTGGTCTTTATAGGTCTACGTAAGTTATATTTCTCTTCAAAGATGTATCTTTCATGTACCTAGAAGTATGTTATATGTAGTTCCTGGATCATCCATTTACCTTTACTTTTTCAAGAAATTAAGCTATTTGTGACGTTGAGTGCTTAAGTAAGATCAGCAGTCTGGCATGTCCTTGGACGCTGGTCCTTAGTAGCCAGTAGGCGATGTCTCATGAATCTAAGGGACTGTAGTTGTAGCATTATTGAAAAGAACACGTTCGTTATTCCGTGCTCCAGTTATTTCATTTATAGAAAGCCATATATTATCTTTTCACATGGTCCTATTACTAGAAGGTTCAAGCCCTAAGATTGTGCTCTTTTTTTTTATTTGAATAGAAAACTATGACAGAAGGAAAAGATTACTGTGAGCGGAAAATCAGCCTGCTAAAGTCCAACTACGAGCAGCTTCTTGATGTAAGTATCCATTTTGTTTCACTTGGTGGAGCGAATTTATATGCAAGTTTTGAGCTGCTTATTTTAGTTTATTTGTGTTCTAATTTGACATAAATTCTCCATGCTACAAACCTTCTCGGGGGTTTCATTTCTGGTGTACTGAGTACCCTATCTGTAACAATCCTACCTGATATTTCTGCTGTTCTATGACTATTGATATATCGTCTTATTTCATCTATCTAATGTAACCCAACCTTCGATACTCGGGGTGATTGATGTGAGAAGAAGTAAATTGAAAAAAATATTTTAATGGGTTTCAAGGCGTTCTTAGCCGTGTACACCTATTGCAAATATACAAGAAGTTGGTTTTAGAGGACATCATGTGGCCTCTGTCATGCAACACACACACTACATGGCTAAACTCATTAAGAAAAATCATCAAGAACAGTGTTGTTACTGGCATAAGCTTAATTTCTGTCATAAAGAAGAGTTCAGAAAAATAAGCTGGACATTTAATATCTACAAAAAGGTTTTTGAGTATTTAGTAACCTTCTCTCAGTCAATGGCAAGTGGTTTAGAAAGAATATGTATCGCCTTTCTCCTCCTTATATCATGGTAAGATAGCTTAGCAAGCTGCTTACCCTTGCTCAAAAAGCTTGCATTGCAGGATTACCCACCTTTAATGTGGACTTCATGGATGTCTTCTCTCTAGGACAGATATCATTAGAAGGCTATAGTGTTTATATGCCATTCCGTTTTTACTTTCTCATTTATCACTTCCACCTGCATTTAGGTTTTGAGAGAAGGGTGTTGGAGATTGTCTGAAGTTTTCCCCTTCATGTTGTTACAAGGTCCATCCAGAACAGGTTCCTGGAGAAACCTTCTTCATTTCCTTATCAGAATTATGACTTTTGTAAGCTCACAAGCTTGAGTTTGAACCTGGTCTATCTCATTGGTTAGCCAGTCCCACAGACAGTAACCCCCAGAGAGGAAAGTCGCTAAGGGTAATGATTGTAGGGAAAAGGTCAGACCCCTAGAGTCTATTGCTTAGCTTAGATGAACGGAGGGACGTGTAATCCCTAAAAGGAGATTGGGAGAGTTGAGGTTTCCATGGTAGCCTGTAGGCGATGAATGGAGGAGTCGATCAAGGCAGGAGGTTGGATTCAATGCCACCTTTCTCAAGCATAAGCGACTGGTACAAAATAAAATAGAGAAGAGTTTCAGAGGTATTAAATGGCAACATAAGGCATCCCGGTAGTTAAGTTAAACTTGTTATCTTCAAGTAAAAACCTCACCTTATTCCCGATATCTTTGGAATGCCTACAACTACCTGCTCATATAACTTCTCCATATTAACCTACCACACATTTATATGTGAAAAGGCTGTGCTAAAATTTCAACAATATGGGTTCCTAAACTGACCTATCAATTCTTTCGTGCTTTTCATTATCGTAGTTTCCTTCCTGTGAAAGATCTATAAGTTGCAGCTTCAATATTCCTTTAAATGGTTCATATATATTCTATTCCATACCTCCGACTCTTCAGATTTTCCCCTTCTCTATGTGCCACCTGTTCTAATTCAGGTTTTTCCTTCTGTTGTGACGTTGTTGTTCTCCTTCCTTCCCATCTACTACTTCCCTGTTCTTATCCTTCTCATACTCTTTCCCCTTGACGTTGTCCAGCAACTGACCACTCCTCTACTTCTATTCTTTCCGTGCATTTCCAATGTCCTTGCTTAGCTTCACATCAAGAAAGCAAGACAAACAAATTGAAATGGAGGGAGTATTTTTCTATCCTTTAATATATGTTATGCAGATGATATTGCAAGGATTTCCTTGAATTTGTAGTTTGGTAAAAAAAACAACTCTAATCATGTTTTTCATTTGTTTATGGAAATCACCTTCTTTTAGTAATCATTTGTACAAATGCAGGTTGCGACGAAGAAGAAAAGTATTGCTGATGAAACTGGTGTTATCTTGCAAGCTAAATTGAGACAACTGGCTCCAGCACAATAGATCATATTTGTTTTTTTTTCGTGTTTTTGGGTGCCTACTTGTAACATTTTTAAAAGTTAACGTTTGTGGAGGTTCCTTCGTTGATAACTCAACGAGTTCATGTGCGTCAAAGAACTTTACGAGTACCAAATTCTGTCTAAATTAGTATTGCTGGAGCTGTGGAGTAGAAGTTCAACGAGTGTTCAACGTACCTCCTTCCATTTCACCCCCACTTTTTCCCTGTGTTATTTTACCATTCGCGAGAAACAGATGAGTGATAAACATCTGTTCCATTGTAGCAAACATTGGTTGATGACAAGAAGTTTATGATTTACCTTTATATGCCCTTTAGTTGGTGCAACAATAGTACAGTTCTACTTCTGCTGCTCAAGTTTCTATTTCAACTATATGTGCGAGTGTCTGTGGGAAGACAAAAAGGTGTTGTTACAGTAAAATTACAACACATGCTCAGTGTGATCGCACAAGTGAGTGGGGAACGGGGAGGGTGGTGTGTATGCAGATTTTACATTTTTTCTCCACAATTGAGTGGAATGGGGAGGGTGGTATGTGTGTAGACTTTACGCCCCTAACTTTTTCCATAAGTGAGTGGGGAGGGTGGTGGGTGGGTGGTGTGTATGCAGACCTTACGTCCTGACCTTTTTGGTGGTAGTGATTGTTTCGAAAGACCCTTGGCTCAAGAATAACATAACAAGTTTGGAATTGTCATACTACAATTTACTTTTTAAGTTGTGAAATAATAATAATAATAATAAATTCTTTCTATATAATTTTACCAAATGAACAAATCATAATTCATAAGTAAGATATCGAAATATTCTAATTAGGAGTTGCATTGATAAATTTCTAGTTTCATGATTCATGTATAAGTGTTTGTGATTACAAATTTTTAAATACACATAAATTTGTAAAGATTTATTAGTCAACAATAATAACTACTAGTTATTCTTTAATATAATTCTTTCATATGGTATGAACAATCTTTTCACGGGCTTCTTTTTATATATAAAATATAAAATTATTACATTTTAAAATAAAATTAAAGTTATGAGTTGGAATCCCCAAATCATTTTTTATTTTTATTTTTGGAGATTTGAAATTATGATTCAAATCACATGTTCAAATATTGAGTTCATATCTCATGTCCAAACACAAGCTATATGTTACAATTAAAAATTTGAGATTTAAGTTTTAAAATTTTTAATCGTGAATTTGATTGGATCTGGATCAAGATATCCATTACGTCATACGATATATCGATCCAGAGAACTTACTTTCCGTTTAAGTCATCTATTTTGCTCCTATCTAAAGTGATAATAGGTTGTTTCATAGAGGTGCGCGAATTCGACCACGTGATGAAAACATGTTTTAAGCTAACTGCGTATAAGCGAAGCTGGTGGTCACTGTCCTCATTAGCTCTTTACTTGCTTGTACAAAGAGCATGTCTGAGGGGCTACTACGATCACTGCACTCTTGCATTTACCACCTTTTTTAAAAAAAAATTATAAGTTATAATAATTAATAGTTTAAAATATTAAAAGATATTCCAATAAAAATAATTATATTTCTTTTTCTTAGAAAATAAAAAAGAACATGAAATATTCCCCTTACCTTTACCTTTCTCTTCATTCTTCCTTTCTCTGCATAATTTAAAATTCATTCTTTTCCAGTGTTACAGAAATGGAACCCCATCACAACCCACCACCGTCCATCGCCTTCCACCACCACCACGACGGCGGCGCCGGCGGAGCCTGCGTCAACTGCGGTGGACCTACCGCGTTCCCATCACCGCCTCCTGATCCTAACCCCAACTACATCCCCATCCGTGCTCCAGCCGTCAACCTTCCACCAGCCAATAACAGAGAAATCATCATGCGAACACCAGTTCCTCAATCACAGAGAGTCGTTCCGTTAACTCCTCCTTACCATTTCCAAACTCCGGTGAAGAAAATCCACAACCAAAACGACATCGTTCAGTTTCAATCATCTCCCACTTGCCAGAACTTTCTCGGGTTCGTGGTTTTACTATCGGAGTCTATTCGTTCACATAAACTCTCAGATCCTTGCCATGAGTCGCCTGTAGTGTTAGCCATTGTTTCTGTGCTTGAAACCCTAAGTGTCTACGTGGATGAGATCCCTTTAGCACCACAATCGTCTCGATATGGGAACTTGGCGTACCGGACATGGCATGAACGTATGAGTTGTGATGCTGAGTCATTCTTGCTTCAGTTTCTGCCTCCGGATCTTCACTCGGCTACTGTTGAGCTTGTTCCTTACTTTACTGATAGCTTTGGCAACTCCAGCAGAATTGATTATGGTATGCTTTTTGGTTTTAGTTTCGTTTATTGTGCTGTTACCAATCAATTAGCCTCATTCGCGAATTAGTTGAGCTCAGCTATGAAAATCCTCTGCAGAAGGTCACATAGGCAGTGTTAACTATGTGCGATTAACTGACGTTAAGTTGTTGGAGTTTTGTTGTTTTTCTTAGAGTAATTAGAGTTGCGGAAACTTTTCTTGTAAAACGATTGGAGAATGAGTACTTGATTATGGTTGAGTACTACTATTACTGCTCCAGAGTTGAGAAATGAGTTCAGTTGTGTACTAGTTGGAGGAAATGTAATTAATGCTAAGATGTGGTTCTAACATAAAATGTTAATGTTAGTATAAGTTGCACCTACTCTTCACTTTTGATGCCGCACCCGTGTCGGATTCTCCAAAAATACACTACTTTTGGCGAATCCGACACGCACCGGTTGACATTTTGAAGAGTCCGAGCAACATAGATGTTAGAAATATATGATACATTCATCTCAGACTGATGCTCTGCCGTAGCTTTTTTCTTGTGGGATTGTTTAATGGTGTGTAATATAACAATCCTGTATACGGGAGTTCAACCAGTTTAATATAATTTACTTCATAAGAAACAAAACATGTGTTATATATTTATCATAATACATAATATAGTTATTAAAAGAATCATAATACATGAAGTGTTGAATATTATGTTGCTATAAGTATCTCAGTTGAATTGTTGATATGTCTGCCCTTAGCAATCATTTCACAGTGTTCACCTCATCTTCCTATGAGATAGTGTTGGTGGATGTAAAGATGCATCAACAAATATGTAACAAGTTTTAATAATGCTAAGAGGGTAAAAAATAAATCATTTCTAAAGCTTTTTCACCGTCTGGAAAAAATTGGTGTGTCTGCCCCTGTTCATAGGCACATTTGCATTTTGTGCTTATGTTTAGTGATTGAGCATGACAACATTTGTTTTCTTCTTGTGCTGATTTAAATTCAGTTTTGATGGAGAACAACATAGTAGCCTATCTTCAGCATCTGATTCCTTTTCTTGATACACCAATGATAAAAAAAGTTACATGAAAATGACTGTACTTTTCAATCTACTTTAAGGAATTTTCTGCTCCTTTGATTTGAGCTCTTACTTTGCTGGATTATGCTATAGAACTATTTTATACGTTTTAACTATCCCTTTAGAACTTTTAAGTGCACATGACTGTTGGCGTTCTATAACTGGCCTTCCTAGAACAAATTAATATTAATTCCTAGAACTAATCACGTCTGTTATATAGGTACCGGACATGAGACAAATTTTGCAGCATGGTTGTATTGTTTAGCAAGATTAGGAGTTGTGAAAGAAGAGGACTATCAAGCTCTGGTGTCAAGGGTTTTTGTCAACTACTTGGATTTGATGAGGAAGTTGCAAGTAACCTATTGCCTAGAGCCTGCTGGGTCCCATGGGGTTTGGGGACTAGATGACTACCACTTCTTACCTTTTATATTTGGGTCATCTCAGTTGATTGATCACAAGTACATGAAACCAAAATCTATTCACAACAAAGATATCTTGGAGAACTTTGCAAATGAATATCTTTATCTCTCATGTATTGTGTTCATAATGAAGGTGAAGAAGGGAGTGTTTGCAGAGCACTCGCCCATGTTAGATGACATTAGTGGTGTACCCAATTGGAACAAGGTAAACAGTGGCTTACTTAAGATGTACAAGATTGAAGTTCTGCAGAAGGTTCCTATCATGCAGCATTTCCTTTTTGGCTCCATTATCCAATGGTATGCATCTTATTTTCACCTTTTTCTCTAAGCTTTATAAATATATTGGTTATAGAAGTATTTCAGTTCCTTATGGCTTTGCTAGTCTTTAAACTCATCCCTTTTCTGGGGATTAGTTAGAATTTTAGTTTTGCATCATGAAACCTTAACCAACTAGAGGTAAGTTTTACCCTTTACCATCTTGTCCCGATTTACTGATACTTGTTAGTATTTGGCGTATGTAATTTTAAACCATAGTCAAAAGTTGAAGCGTGAATTTGTGCCTGTTTCCTCGAAATTTTTTTGATACGTGGAGTCAACCCGCTCCACGCTGGAACTTTGTTGATGGCATGGACAACAATGAGACAATGATAAGGTTATGAATGGGCCAAGAGTATGGCGGAGTGCAAAATCGAGTAATTTCAGGTAGTATAGGGTTCAAATTTAAACCTTTTTGCTACTTCAAAATAAATTTCCAAAGAGGTATGAATGGCTTAATTTTTTTGGGCATTTTGTTAAATTATACAAGCTGTAAGAATTTTAGTCTCAAGTGTTTGAAAGTTTAGAAGCCCATCATAACTAGTATAAGATACTATGAAGATAATTGTTACAACACATCATGGTTCTACTTCCTGTGTATCCCCGATTGGGTGTACTTCACAAATCTCAGGTTATTAGCTTGTTGCAATTCACCACCAAATCCCAAAACATGGCTCGTCTCCTGCAGGGTCTCTCCATTTTGACTTGTTTTACCAATATCAGAAAGTGCAGATCTAGCATCCCCTTGATACAAGTTCTTCCAACATCTGAGTACAGTTTGCGTGGGACACATTTAAATCTAGATGTCTGTGATTCTCCCTTTTTAGTATCTTCTTTAATTCTTGATCCATTATTTTTTACGTTCTCAATCATGCACCAGGTTTCCCCAGAGTCCTCTTACCACTCTATCTTGGATGTCGTTAACATGGTAGTTTATCTTGGTACATTGTGGGAGCATCACTCTAAAGATAACGACTAGATCGATGAGATGCATTGGTATCTTTTAATTTATCATACTAACAATAAATGAACCTTTTACTTTCTCACCTGTATATCTTGCAATTTCACAAGTTATTATATGATTTCGGGCTTATTATATGATTCTTTGGCATCTCTGCAAATCTGAAGCTTAATTTTCTTTGCTCTTTCATCCAGGCAATGATGTGATTGTCGGTCTTTTTTCCGAGTCAGGGGTCATTCATATATAAGCTTCCTATTTATCAGCAGCTATATAGTGATGGAGGAAACATTACATTCTAATATTTTGGCAGCGAACATCTACACAATTTGATGCTTCAAATGTATCAGCCTTTTATTCAACGGCAGTTTTCGTTTTGATAACAGTGATGTCTGGGTCAGCTTGCCCGTACCTCGACTATTCTACCGGATACCTATACTACCTTCCACCAGCTTATTGTCTAGATTTTGAATATTGTTGTTATAAAAGTGATCTTGAAGATACTTTCATGGCAATATGTATAATTACTCCAGTTGCAGAGTGGTAGTCTAAACTTTTGACAAATATGTCTCTGCAATCCTTGTGAGTTGTGACAAATACCATGAAATTCCTTTTCCTGGGGAAGTATTATGGTCTCCGTTTTTGTTTTACTCTTCTTTTTAGTCTATTTAAAAAAATATCGTTTTTTCCTTTTTTGGTCTCTTTAAGTGACATTTAAAACCACAAGATTAAAAAACATTTCGATATATTTTATATATGTCTTCAATTTAAGAACATGGGATCTAAAAGTCTTTTATGCTTTTTTAAATTATTAAAGTCAAAATTAGATAAATAAATTGAAACAAATGGAGTTGTTATTGTCCTTGTGTTCTTATTTATTGGCATCTCTAAAATATTTTTGAAGCCATCTTGTGGTATAGAAAAAAGTTCATATCATATTTTTTTTTCGAGTAAAACATTTCATTGCATTACTTTAAAATATAATATTATATCAACTTCATAATTTGTTTTGATTGCTAGGGAAAAATAATAATTACGATTCTCATCTTATTTATTGGACACTTTAAAAACAACACAAGCTTGTAGGACAAGAAGATATCTCATTTTTGTTTCTCCAGGAAAAACCATACTTTATGTGTTACAGTAATTAATTAATCTTAAAGGAGAAAACTCACGTATGAAATTGTATTTTCTTTGTTTGAATTCGTAAGTTACCGAAGGTAGGGATAATCGTTCAGGTCTTATTGTGAAAGAAAAAAGTCGTCCAGCCATAGCAGACGGGCTGCTTCCTTTGTCGTCGGCCGGAAGCTTTTAGTGAGGAGACTTTAGGATAAGTTGCTAAAACAAACGAGATGGGAGGATTGACCTGTTTAGATAATTTCGAAGAAAGACCTTTGACAGCAGGTAGATAGTCTTATGTTCAAAGAAGATGTTTCACAAGCTATCTTTGTAAAATAAAGAGATTAGTAAATCAAACAAATGAAAATGAAAGAAAAATATCAGGTGATTTATCTTCATTTTGTGTTTAAGCTATAATGGATAGAGTTAACTAATACTTAACGCTGACGGAATGTGACATATCGTAAAATTAATTGAAGTGCGCGCAAACGAACTTGAACACCACAATTATCCAAAAAACAAGAGACTATTTACAAACATAAAAAATCTTTATTTTTGGCCTTCAATTTGCGACAAAATTGAGAATATGACTCCATTTATTATGAAAATAAAAGAGTGAATAAGTTCTATAACAATAAGCAACTTGAATTTGATATTTTGAAATTCTGCAAATAGTTTATTTGATAATCATATAATTCGTTCGGTTTAATAGCAATTTTTTCTTATTGTCGGATAAATATTGTATAGAGAAACAATATGACAATTGATCCAAATAATTATAATTTGATATAACTAATTCATCCAAATATTATTTGTGCATCACACAAATTCTAAAAAAAGAACAATCTAACAAAGTATCCTGCATTTATACAAGATTCAAGAAAAGACCACACTTCAAGAAATATGACATAAACAATCTACCTTAATACAAACATTAATATATGTGAATCGAATCTTAACCTATATTAGGTCACACAAAATTCTAATACCCTCAAAAGTACCTATCACATTTAAAACTTCTAATTCAAGAAGTCAATTACAACAATTATTTTTTTATTTTTTAAAAAAAAGGAAGTGTAAAAGAAATTAAAGCATAATTTTTTTGATAACTTTTCCAAAAAGGCATATATACCAAAGCCTAATAAAATCAAGAAAAGGGTTTTTCTCTTCCCCCTTTCATCTGTGCTAAAACCTCTCATCTTCCTTTTCAAGAACAAACCTTTACCCCCACCCCCAACCCCCATCCCAACCCCACTACACCCATTTTCACTCATACTCTGCTACCCCAGATACCCTTTTCAGTCATTTGAATTATATTGTCATCAGTTGGCTGTATCTCTACAAATCTTCTTGAATTTTTTTGAGCATTTGGGGTTGTAAAGTTTGAAGTGTTTGGTTATTAAAGATTTGGTTTTTTCAATTTGTTAAAGAAAATGAAACAAAGGGTTGGATTTGCATTTATTAGAGAAAGCTTGTATCGCAAGCTAATAAAACCAAGCTCTGCTCCTCCTAGACATTATTGCGCGTCTTCAGCTAATGTTCCTCCAACTCCTCCACTACCTAAGGTTCCTCATTCTTCAAAAAAGGTACTTTCTTTCTTATGTTTTTTTCTATTTGGTTTTATATTTTTGTATCTTTAGTTTTGTTAACTTAAGAGTACTAGTTTAATAATAGAGGTTTTTTCTTGGTGAGAAGTATATGATAGAGTTACTTGGTACCTGTATTTGTATGCGGTAGGAATTAGTCGAGGTGGGTGCAAGCTATCCTGTATAAAATAAGTTCTATAGGAACCTTTATTTTCTTAGAGTAGTAATTTAATAATACTGGAGTTTTCTTGCTGAGAAGTATAAGATAGAGTTACTGGGTACTTGTATTGGTACGAGGTAGGAGTTGGTCGAGGTACGTGCGAGCTATCCTGGATATCATAGTTACAAAAAGAAGTTCTATAGAGAATTTTTATTTTTGTAGAGTACTAGTTTAATAATAGAGGAATTTTCTTGCTGAGAAGTATAGGATAGAGTTACCAGGTATTTTATTTGTACGAGGTAGTTGGTACCCCGTGGAATTAGTGAAGGTGTGTGCAAGTTGTCTTGGACAACATAGTTATTAAACAAAGTTCTATAGAGAATCTTTATGGTTGAAATAGAGATACAAATTGCCAAAGTTTGTATTTGATTGGGATATGGTTGGATTTCAAGTGACTTATCATAAAAAAAGGTTGGATGTTGGCACAAGATTTTGGACTCACTAGGATAAATCATGCAGTTAAGAAAAAGAAGTAACTTCCAATGGCATAAAAATGGGACATGAAGAAGTATTTAATTTCTCTTTTTATCAATCTAAGTTGGGGATATTGAATCATTTTGAGTGTATCTTATTTCCTTTTCCTTTTTTCATTCCTGAAACATTCACATGAATTTATCAATGGATTTGATTAGCGTAACCATGTCAAGTAAATGAAGTAAATCATTTATAAAAAAAACTTTTACCCTTTTTCTCGAGGATATTGGAAGTTCCATCTGGGATTTCCCCATTTTTAATACTGATGGCCTGAGTTTTAGAACGTGGTATATGCTAATCGCCTATGAGTTCAGGAGCTGTATTCTAATTTACTTACGATTTTACAAGGGTTATTAATTTCTTCTGCATGCTTCTTGTATTTCACTTCAGTATCTTGGTTAACACTGTAGGGAAGGTTGCTTACAGGAGCCACAATTGGTCTACTAATAGCTGGGGGAGCTTATGCAAGTACAGTTGATGAAGCCACCTTCTGGTACTGAATTTAAATCTTTGAGATATGTACTTTTACAGCATTGGTTTTAGAATAGTTGAGAGACAAATAAATGCACATGTTCTGTATAGATTTCTTTTCATGAATTCTGTAGTGAACCAAACAAAGGAAATTAAATGGTAATGCAGTGTAATTTGTTTTTGGGCACATTGGTCGGATGAACA